AGTAGAGAGAGATATTAAGATGATTATCATCTCAGATGAGAAGAAGAAGAAGAAGAATGAGAATGAAAAGTGAATTATAAAAAATAATAAGAAGAATGAGAAAGAGAAGAAAGATAATAAGTAGAAAAAGTTTTTTTCTTTTTATATTAATTAGTTATAAGTTTGTAACTATTGATTAATAATTAAAATTAATTTTGAGTTTTCAAAAATTATTATACAAGTTATCAATATCAGAAATAATATATATATATATATTCAACTATCATATCACTATAATGTATAAGTATTAACATTTTTTCAACATTGATATTCATAATATTAATATATTTTTAATGATATTATCTAATAATGTAATTTGATAACACTCTCTTTCATAATATTAATATATTTTAAGAAATATAATAGAGATTACTCAAGATTATTTATTTACTTTTATATATCAATGATATTCAATCTGAGTTAATACTAAAATTATAACTAAGCTAAGAAAGAAGATTATTTTCTCTTATATTAATTCTTCTTATACACATCAGTGATCAGTTATTGAAAATAAATTATTATCTTTCTTAAATTATTATTATATCTTTTGAATTTACTTCTTTCACTTCTTTTACTTCTATTGAAGATTCACAAACTCTTTAAGAAATCACTGTGAATTACAAAGTCTATATTATTTATAATTTAACACAGAATACTCTCTTTTAATTATAATGAATAATCACTTCATTCTTCACATCTGATTTCAGATCATGATATTTATGAAAAACTCAATATAAACACTGAGATGAACTATGAAATAATTATTAATAGATTATATTATAGATTACTGAAGAGTTATCTCTTTACTATAATTACTGTAACTTTATTCAGAAATATTTATTATAAATTAATTATAACTCTGAGGAAATTTCTCAATATCTGAAGTAATCAGAATGTAGATAATAAAAGAAAAATAATTAGAAAATTACTACTGAGCTGATAAGTTACTCTATCAGATAATGATTTTTAATAATACTAACTTTCTAATTTGAAGAAAATTATATGAAAATAATCATATATCAGTACTCTGATTTCATAACTCTTATTTAATAACTTTTATAAATAATTACTTCATATATATATATTTCTGAATCTTTCTCTTTAATCAATTGAAAACTCTGAATTCTGAATACTTCTTTAAATACTTAATTCAAATCTTTATATTTCACATTAATTCTGTCTTCAGTTCAATCTCAAGATATACTACAAAGTTAATATATAATATCTAGAATCAGAGTTGAAGAATTATCAAAGAGTGTCTCTTACAGTGAATATATGAACTAGTATAAATAATCTTACATTTATAAGAGTTATATATTATTATATTAATAAGAACTGAACTTATTAAGAGATATTAATTGAATTTAAATCATTAATCAGTAGTCATACTAAGAATTATATAACAGAGATATTAATAACTGTGATTAAAAATAACTATTGAGATATTAGTCTCAGTCTTCTTATAATTATAACTGATAATACTATGAATAACTACACTATAGTGAACAGCTTGAAGTAAAAATTGACTTTGTATTTCTGAAATGATAAATAAGGTTATATTCTCTATATTACTCATATGATTTAACTTGTAATACAAACACTGATAAAGAATCTTAATATCAAGATAAAGAATAATAAGATAACTGATTCTTGAAATAAGAATAAGATAAAAGTGATTATTTAAGTAACTTTTACATTTACTTTATAAAAGATAATATTTTTTAATAACACTTTTTAATATTGTTTTTTAGTAATACTTTTTAGTAACACTACTGTTAATTTTGAATAGATTAACTAATAATTTAAATATCACAGATTTAAAACATTATTAATATAATTTATATCTTCTCTAAATAATAATAGTAATTTTATGATATTTAATAAATAAACAAATCAGTTACATCACTGAATATAATACAGAATATTAGAATATAATGAAGTTTAATATATAAGATAACTATTTAAGCTCTTCAATTGTATCAGATAATTAATTATTAAGTATAACACTCTGATCAGAAAAAGATTCAGATATTAAAACTTTCCTAATATAAAGTGAACTTAGTTGAAATATATAATTAATTTACTGTTTCAGTTTTATAAAATAATAAAGACAGTCTTAATCACTTATATATCAATACTACAGTCAGTCTGATAAGTGTATAATAGTTTATTTACTTATCTTAGAGCAGTTAATCACTCAAATTATTTACTTATCTTGAGAAGCAGTTGAATCACTTAAAAAGAAATTCAGTCTGAGATAATATTATAGTGCAGACTATTATTACTATAAGAAATAAACTGATATATTACTACAGTAAAACTGAACAATCTTTTACAGAGTACTATACTATAGCAGCTCTACTAGATCTCTTTTATCAAGTTAATATCTACACTTCTCAAGATTGAACAGAGAAGAAATGAGACTTATATATTAAATTAGTCTGAGACTACTACAATGTCAACTATCAGAGATTTGAATAAGCAGATATTAAAGATATAAAGACAGTGTAATATAATTCTCTAGTAAGTAATAATCTTTGATAATACTTCATATTATATAGAACTATAATACTAACTTTAAAATAGAACTTATATACATTGATTATAACTGAAAATCAGGCAAAACTACATACTTGTAAAACTGAATTTAATTACTATCTTTAAGATAATTTAATAAATTTATACATTAAATCAATTCTAGAGTTATGAAAAATTATTGAGAGTATATATTTAACTATTATACTGATAATATATAATATTCTGATAATTTCATTGACAGAGATAAGAATGAAGTGAAAGTTCAACTCAAGCTAAGATATTTATTACTATTATTAAAGACAATTATAAGAAGAAATAATTAAAAAACTCATAATTATAAAATATGAAATTATTAGACAGTTTAATATCTCTGATCATAGTATATCAGAGAAGTGTAGTTTTCATGAGAAAGTGAAGAATAAATTTATACAAGAATGTATTTAATTATTTCATAAATATTATTAATAATTATTATCAAATTCTGATTATAGAAGTAATCACTGAATGAACTGAATAAGACTGAATTTAATTTTCAGTCTCAGTCTTATTCTGATTTTGAAAGAATAATTATCTTTTATAGTTTATTCTAAGAAATTACTCTTATTTCACTGTTCTTGAATTAAATCTGATTATTTTTCACATCATTTTTCTCAGAAATAATTCATTTTCAGATTTTTTTAAAACTTAGTTCTGATGAGACTGATATCAAGAAATATATAAGATCAGATTAAATGAGATTAAATATGAAATTCATAATTTCAGTGACTAGTCTAATTATATCAATTTATTCAGTATAAATCTCTTACAGTTTTTTTATAATAAATAAAAAAATATTAAATATATTTTAAAAAAGAGAGAAATACTAATAATATTATTTACTTTTAAATAAATATTTTTTATTATATTATATAACTTTAATAATATACTTTATAATATTATTTATCATTTATATCAGAATTATCTCAAAAAAAAAATTTATAATTATTTATATTATTTTTATAATTTAAAATTTTTTATTTATTTTTAAAACTTTAATTTTAATAAGTAAAGTTTATTTTTTAATTTTTATTATTTTAATATTTTTTTTAAAACTTTTATAAATAATTTTATTTAAAATTTTCTTTATAACTGAGTTAGAATTTTTATTATTTAAGTTTTTAAAATAATTTTTTATAAATTTATATTTTATAAAATTTCTTAAATATTTTAATTTAATATAATAATTATTATTTAATAAATTATTTCTTAAATATTTTAAATAATTAAAACTGTACAATAAAAATAAATATTATAAATAATTAATAATATTTAAAAAATACTAAATATAAAATATATTATAAATGTAAATAGAGTTAATTATTAAAAAAGTAAAAAAACAAGTATTTTCTCAGACTTTTTCAGTATTAATTTATAAATATATATAATTTACTTAAATATAAATTTTAATATAGATTTTATTATACTAGAATTAAATCTTAGTTAATATTTAATATTATAGAAGATTAATAGTAGTAGTAATAACAGTTATTTTTAACTATCTAATTATTAACTATTGTATTACTATATAGAGTTTTTTTTACAATTAAAATAAAGTTAATAATAAACATAAGTTAATAAAATATAATTCACAAGTAAGTCAGTCACACAATTAAAAGAGTCATTTGAATACATATATAAAATAAGTGAGTTTAATAAGAAGAAATATTTGTAAGAGCTGTGATCTCAGTGATAGTTTTGTTGAAATAGAGAGATTTAAATGTCATCACAAGTACAGAGTACTTGCATAGTGATATGAGTATAAGATTTGAATGTAAAAATAAACTGCGAGTCATCAAATCTAGATGAGAATCTCAGATATATTACATGAGGTGTAGTTTGTTGACAATTTCATACTAATTAATTGCTACCTATGAATAGCAGACTTTACTTTTAAAAGCATCATCCGTTAATTGCCCACAAAAATCGTGAATAAACTGGTATCTGCCCAGCCCGAGATCGCACAATCTCCACCGATCACGCCATTTTACGCCGGTTTGATTCCGTCCATTCTTTTTTCTTCCCTTCACTCGCTTCCCCCGCGATTGAGGAGATAGTTATATTTAGTCTGCTAGTTATATATTGGAGGGGCGGAATCGTCTTTCTTTCTCTCTCATTCTTTCTCCCCCGCTCTCGTGTCTGTATACCATACCTATCACAACTTTGATATACCACGATATACCACGATATATCACGATATATAACTCGCATTCGTTCCTTGTACTTGATATACCTCTCTGTCATTGTCTTATTCCCAAGATGGCCGGCGACGAAATCACTCAGCGCTTTGAGACGCTGCAATTGCATGCTGGGTAAGTAAAAATAACTCCTCCAAGCCCCGCCCTGTAACATAGTTATCACAATGTACTGTATATATATATCCCCAAGGTCACTAATGAATGCCATCATATCAGCTATACTCCAGATTCAGCCACCAACTCGCGCGCTGTTCCCATCTATGCTACTACCGTTGGTCTCCCAGGAATCCTTTCCTCCGTCCATCAACTAACTTGAGCCAGTCCTTCACCTTCAATGATTCCGCGCATGGCGCTCGACTCTTCGGCCTCAAGGAATTGGGCAATATCTACAGCCGCCTTGGCAATGTGTGTGACTATACATTATATCCTAGCATTCTTCTTTGGAATTGTGTGGGGCAAAATAACGATACCAATAACAATGTGTACAGCCCACCGTTGAGGTCTTCGAGAAGCGTATAGCTGCACTGGAAGGTGGCGTGGCTGCCGTGGCCGCTTCGTCGGGCCAATCCGCCCAGTTCATGGCCATCGCTGCGCTCGCAGGCACCGGTGATAACATCGTCTCCACCACCAATCTCTACGGCGGCACCTACAACCAGTTCAAAGTCCTCCTGCCCCGTCTAGGTATCACCACCAGGTTCGTCACGGGCGATGATCCCGAGGACCTGGCGTCCAAGATCGACGATAAGACCAAAGCGGTCTACGTCGAGACGATTGGCAACCCGAGATATAACGTGCCCGACTTTGAGAAGATTGCGAAGGTTGCGCATGAGAAGGGGGTGCCGTTGGTGGTACGTCTTGTTTGCTCCCTGTAAAATGGAAAGCCAAGGGGCGGGGGCGGGGTGGAAGCGAGAGAATGTGAAACCACCCCACCACGCTCTTCTCATTCTCACCCCTCTCTCTCCTTGAACCGTGATCCAAAAAAAAAAAAAAAAAAAAAAAAAAAAAAAAAAAAAAAAAAAAAAAAAAAGGGCAAGAGATAGAGAAAAAAAAAGCTAACTCTCGTGAAATGACCACAGGTGGACAACACCTTCGGTGCAGGCGGATACTTCGCACGCCCCATCGAGCACGGGGCGGACATCGTCGTGCACAGCGCCACGAAATGGATCGGCGGCCACGGTACCACCATCGCCGGCGTCGTCGTCGACAGCGGCAAGTTCGACTGGGGCAAACACTCCAAGCGCTTCCCGCAGTTCACCGAGCCGTCCCCAGGCTACCACGGCCTGAAAATGTGGGAAACGTTCGGTACGGCTACATTTGCTACCTTTGTCCGTCTCGATGTCCTGCGTGACCTCGGCAGCGCGCTGAATCCGTTTCGGCGCAGCAGCTGCTACTGGGTATTGAGACGTTGTCGCTTCGCTGCGAGAGACATGCGAGCAATGCGATGCGTGCCAGATGGCTAGAGAAGAATGAGAATGTCTCCTGGTGTCGTATCCGGGCCTGGAGAGCCATCCTACCCATGAGACGCGAAAGAAATACCTAAAACGCGGGTTCGGTGGAGTGTTGTCGTTTGGGTATCAAGGGAGGTGCGGAGGCTGGCAGCCAGGTGTCGATGGGTTCAAGCTTATTTCAAACCTTGCCAAGTACGTCCTTTTCCCTCAAGAAACAACAATGACCGATAATATTCTGACAGCGCGGAATTTAAACTAACGGATATTGTAACAACCACAACAGTGTCGGTGACTGCAAGTCCCTAGCCATCCACCCCTGGTCAACGACACATGAGCAGCTCAGCAATGAGGAGCGAATTGCATCCGGCGTGACGGAGGACGGCATCCGTTTCTCTGTTGGCATTGAGCATATCGATGATATCATCGCGGATTTCGAGCAGTCATTTAAGGCTAGCAGCTCCCTGAATCACAAGACTACTTAAGATAAGTATACATATATATATACTTCATAGCTCTAACGGGATCAAGAGGTGATGGCGATGCACCTACTTAACCAGCAGAATATTGTTTATCCACGCTTGAAAAATGAAACGGGGTGGAATAGAAATGGGGGAAATGTTGAACTGGGGAAAATATAAGGGGTTCCGGTGCTGGGGTTTCAGGACCTCGCTGTATAGTCAGTTATCGCTCGCTACTACATACATACCTTCGAGAGGGTTTAACTAGGAGGTTAGACGGGAGGGTAAAATTTTGTAACTACAACGATGTTATGAAACGAAATGAAATGAATATTTTTTTTCATCCCCTCCGCGCCCCCCCCCCCCCTTCCCTTCTTTTTTTCCCAGTGGAGGCACATGGCTACGCTACCTGGGTATATATATATTATGTAGATGTAATCGCGTACTCCAGTTAATTCGTTAATTCTTGAATTTGTAATCCTGATATCCCCAGAGCGGGAACATTGGGTCCTCTAGTTGCCTTTCTATTTATAACCTGCCAGGGAAATTGACACGCCCTACCAGTCAGTCATATTGGAGTCTGGCGGGTAACCTTAATGAGGCCTCCCCCTACGGTCCGGCTCCACGGAATGTTCTCGTTAATATTTATCTTCATTCTACAGCTTAAACAAACAAACTGTGGCGCGGGGTGGAGGCAAAACATGTTGTATATAAAAATAGGTGACCTTCTCCTCAACCTTGAGCCCTTTGATATAGCCGAGCTACCCTCGTGTGAAGTTCTACACCCAATTCGCAACTTTGCGAGCGACACTTCTTCACCCTTCATGGTTCACAATCTGCGACTGCATGGTGCTGATGCCATGTCCTGGCTCCACGAAGCACAGTCCGAAGTCCTCGACATCATAGGCTACGCTTGAGCCCAACGACACAAAAGAATGAAGGTATCCTGAACACAACCGACACCTGCGAGGAAAGAAAGGGAAAAAAAAAAATAATAATTATCGAAAGCAATCAGCAATCTACCCGGCGCAAGACAATGTGTCTAGTCTATATCAGCCATTGAAAGCAGCATCACACCACTTTCCGCGCATGCCATGGCAGTTAGCAGCAGATCTCCAGCCCGTAATGAGGCTTCTCTAAAGAAGTAGTATACGTACCACGCATATCATGATATTGCTGAATGCTAGATTCAACGCCTCCAACAGACACAATGATCGCAGACCTTGGCTTTCATGAGTAAATCATGCATGTACCATGCAATGCCCGTTTGCGCTGAGTCTTGCGCCCAAGAGCGCGGGAGAGTTAGTTATAGTGACAAGTTGTGATGGGGATTGCAAGGGTTGGGTGATATCGCCGTATGTATGTATGTATGTATGTATGTATATATATTGATATTGTATTTGTGTAAAGCGGTTTTGATGGAGAGAGGTTGTGGTTAATCTGTCTGCACACACAAGACAATAAATGATGAAATACAGGAAGTTGTTCTCAGTATCCGGAATATATTTTCTCGTCACCCGATAGATAACTTAACCGTGCCATGCTTACTCACTCTCTGTAGTGAGTGCGCCACAGTGTACGGAAAACCACACTGTAAAGAAAATATTTTCAATATCTTCATTCTTCATCTTCAAATAATCATCATTAATTATAACCATGTCTAAATCTTCTAATTACACTGAGGAGCAGTTGCAAAGAGCTGTTAACGCGTACAAAAGCAATTCAAAATTAAAAATCACATCTCTGTCGCGAGAATTCAAAGTCCTATATGCCACCTTGTATGGGAGGATCAACAGGAAGAAATCAAGGACTATGAGGGTTCCACTGAATTGAGCATTGAATGACAGCCAGGAAGAGGCAATTAAGATATGGATTCATCAATTGAACATTAATTTTTGCCCATCCACCATTGAGCATATCGAAGCTGCCGCGAATCGCATGTTGAGACAGCATCATACAGATCCAGAGACTGCATCTCCCACAGTAAGCAAGATGTGGATATATTGATTCATCAAACACCTGCCAGATTACAAATGAGTCAAGCAAAAACCCATGAATTCAAAACAAGTGTCTTGCGAGGATATAAGCTTCATTATCAACTGGTTTGATTGATATGAAGCTGTCTTCAATCAATATCAATTTTTTCACTGCGATATCTACAACTTTGATGAGATTGGATTTCAAGAAGGAGAAGGACACGGACAGTGGGTTATAACCATCTTTAAAGACATGAATTCTGTCATACAGTCATCATACTCCCGCGGGTTAATAACAGTGGTGGAGTGTGTCAGTGCAGATGACACAGTATTGAATTCATTGATTATAATGAAATCAAAGGTCCATCTAGAGGATTGATATACACACTCCAACTTACCTGACAACTATGCCATCACCGCATTCAAGTCTGGCTTTACAAATGATGAGATTGGATTTGAATGGATCAAGCGGTTCAATAAGATGACAACTGTCAACTGCCTCCTTGCAATTAATCTCCCCAGAGACAGTTGCAAAACTACATCACTAAATCAATGCAGCAGCCAAGGCCTTAGAAGATGTGAAGGATACCCTTACACCTGGTTTGACAAGGCGGTTGAACAAGATCTTCAAGGGTAGCATGGTCCAGGTGGAATTGAATGCGCACTGTGAGGATGAACTTGCAGATCATTATCAAGCAAATAGACATCAGGTCATCAAATCCTCTCACAGACAGATGCAAGTAGGTGGAGTCCTCACTATTAAGAATGCCAATCACAAGATCACAATCTGTAGAGCAGATGAGATGAAAAAGACATTCAATAAGACTCTTTGATTGATTGGAATCAAATCTACAAAATCTACAGTCACTCAACCACAACAAGATAATTCTATAGAATCTCAACTTACAGTGAATTCTACACCTTCTAATGAGTATATAGATAATCTTTATGTTATAGATAGATGTGGTGGTGATTATTAATTAATTTTTGAAGATTACTATATTCAAAATATTTTCTTTACAGTGTGGTTTTCTGTACGCTGTGGCGCACTCACTACAGAGAGTGAGTAAGCATGGCACGGTTAGTAGTTAACTAGAGATTCAAAAATGGGTTGCGAGCGACACAGCCACACCGATAATAGATCAAGAGATCGCGGGACAACAAGCCAATCCCTAACCTTTTCTACGCAGTAAGCTACACTCGGGCGTCAAATTGTGGCTGCAATGACGAATGGCGTGGGTTGTTTTTTTGTCTTGGAGCAATGCGTAATAACAAACAAAGGACTCAGCCACACACACACTACTGCGTACGCTGCGTATAACCACGACAAACTCCTCCTCCAATACATTTTTGGCTCTCTACTAGAGAAAACGAGAAGACGAACCACGCGCACTTCAGTCTCCAGCCTCCAGGAGCCCGCATGGAGCCCGCGTGGCGTTGAGAATTGGCGTTTTACACCACGGAAAGAAGTAACCAAAATGCCAGCTGAGCTGAGGGTTTTTTAGCCTTTATTTTATGCTTGAACGGCGGTGAGTACGGCGGGACTACAAATTATCAACTTATTACAAACTAACTACGGAATACATGGCGTTGTCGCTGTGAGTTAACAGTAACTGATGGGGATTTATTATTTACGAAGTAGAGGATGGAGTTGGCAAGATATTTTTTTTGAGTTTCAAAAGCCTTGATTGAATGAATGTGGATAGTTAGTTATTGATTGCTGCTTAATATAAGTTAGCACAACAGCAATTAACTGCCTCCCTCTGGTGTTGGCAATAATAAGTAGGATAGATTGTATGGAAAGATGATGTTGGGATCTTTTTTGGGGGAGAAAGCAGACGGATTTGCAGGAACTCTTCAGCGTTTCGTTTCAAGCATGCGAGAGTTAGTGTTATAGACAAAGGAGGGGTCATAGGTGTTAGATAGAGCTGTCTGTCACTGTCAGACAGTAGTAGTAGTAGTAGTAGTAGTACAGTTATTTACTCCGTACATTCCTCTGATCTGAGGGGGTACAAGATCATACAAGATCATACAAGATCAGTCAGTCAGTCAGTCAGTCAGTCAGTCAATCGGTGTTGGTGGTTAGAAACCCTCATTCCTCATCCACTCTGACCCTGATCCCCTCCCTCGACGCTGTAATTCTTCCATTATTATTATTATTATTATTATTATTATTATTATTATTATTAATTATTCTACAGTCGTTACAACTTTCGACCCGAGTTCCCGCTCTTCAGAATCATAAACCCCGGTCGCAACAAGCATTAACTGACAAGCACCAGTACAGTACAGTAGTTCTTAAGTTGGAGCTGGGATCATGGATACAACAATCATCCATCCTGTCATGGCCCTCTAGCCCAGACTAACCTCTAGTTCCGCTGCTAGAACTGCTGTGGACTCTGACACAACAACTAGCCTGAAGGAGACATCGGGTGGGCGTCATATCGCGCCTCAGTGGAAACAATGATTTTTTCGGGAGTCATTCTTGTCGGCAAATTCTGGGCTGAGGATTCAAAGCATCCTATCGAAGTAGATGCGGGAAAGTGTTATGTATGGGATGCATCTTGCTATGGAAGTTGGATGTGGATGTGGAAGTGGTGGTGGTGGTGGTGGTGGTGGTGGCAATGACTCGGCGCAAGAACCTTCACAACACTTCTTAGTTAGTTACGTCTTCTTTTGTGATATGGATAACTACTGCGTACAGGACAGTGTGACTGGTTAACTGGTTTTGGTGGTGGTTAATAAGTTGGTGATGACCGTGATTGATGTGCCTAGCGGTGATTCTATACGAAGATGGTCGGTCAGTAATCAGTGATCAGTGGTCATGCTGGGGGAGGGTTTGCCTTTTTTGTTTTTTCTGTTTCTTCTTCTTCTTGATAACTTAATTATTTTATATGAGATAAATAACTTAATAGTTATCAGCGTATACCCCATGAATAGCCAGTATTATTATTACGGCTGTATCCCATCATTCCCATCATTCCCATCATTCCCATCATTCCCATCATCCTCCCTCTCCCACGTCATCGCCCTCCCAGCGGCCCCCGGAACCAGTTTGAATTTCTTCGCCGGCGCCACGAATAAATAACTTAAATAATACACTAACAAAGTTAGCGGCCTTGCGGGATCCTGGATTCCTGGTCCTGAGCTTAATTAGTTATTTTAATTATCGGCTCGGCGGTTGTTGTTCTTGAAACCCAGAGTTAGATTATTTATAATAATAAGAATAAGAATCCCCTTCAATCCCGCGAACTACTTTACTCTTGAAGAACACGATCACCCGCCCGGTTGAGAATCGCCAAATTAATTCTTTTTATTTAAAATCACTCCCCCCCCCCCCCCCCCCTCCTCTATCAAACCTTCACTCGACGCTCGTAAAGCTGATCGACTGGAAAAGTAATTCTTATTATTAGATCTCAGGTATCGCAGATCTATCGGATAATAAATAGCTACAGCTCAAAACACTGGAGAATATCAACGTCAGGATCAACTCCGCCATGCAGAACATCATTGTCGGCCTACGAGGCGCTCAGGTCGTCCTGGCCATCATCATCCTTGGCCTGACTGGATGGGGTATGTTCAGCTTCAGCTCCATTCACATTAACTATATATAATATATATAATATATATATATATATGATTATATGATATAACTAACAAACCCCAACCAGTCGTCAACCGCACCCGCGGCAACTCCGACGAAACGAACTTCCTCCTCTTCGACTCAATCTGGACCTTCATCATCGCCGTCCCGTATCTCGTCCTCGCGCCACTCTACCTCCAGAAGTTCGCGCACAAGTACGCCCTCATCGCCGTCGAGGCCGTCACCCTGCTCTTCTGGTTCGCAGGCTTCATCGCCGTAGCCGCCGTGCTGCCGCCCACCTCGGTGTGCAGGCATTCATCCGTCTGCAAGGGCTTGCAGGCTGCCACGGTGTTTGGCGCGTTTGAGTGGTTGGTTTTTTTTTTTTTTTTTTTTTGTTTTTCTTTCTTGGATATAGGATATATATATATATATATTCATGCTAATGTAAATTCCAGGCTCCTCTTCGTCGCCACGACCGTCCTCGTCGTCGTCCTCCCCATCCTGCGTGGTGGTGGCGATAGCACCCCAAAGCCCGAAGCCGCGGTCGACATGCAGGCGCATCCAGGCGTATAAAAAGATAAAATAATAAAATAATACTGAAAAAAAAAAAAAAAAAAAAAAAAAAAAAAAAAAAAAAAAAAAAAAAAACCCCCAAACTTGGGAAAGACCAACAAATTTTTTTGCCCTCGGGCGAACCGAACCCGGGATCACCTCGAACCCCCGCCCCACCTCTTCCAAGTTTTTCGCCCATTTTTGCCATTTTGCTCCCCACTCACAAGTCACACTTCACGCGAAATTGTTCCCTTTCCCAACAGAAGGGAACTCCATGACGGAAACCCGGACGGGCCGTGTTCGGCTTTTCAAAAAAATATATATATATATATTTGATATTAGCTATTTATGGGTGCGGTGCAGTGGACGTATGGTTTATTCATCATTTTCAAATCGATAATGATACTATGACGATGGATATGGGTATGGGTGGGATATGAATATGGAAGATGAAATATGGCTGGAAATTTGTTTTTTTTTTTTTCTTTTCTCTGTTTCTTTCCCCCCGATACCCATGTTATTCATGTTTTAAACGATGCCTGCGAATCCTTTCTATCCCATTCCACTGAGCCCTTTTTCACCCTGGTTTTAACTCTTATTTCTTTACTTATTTATTTTCCCACCGCTCACCTACCTACCTACCTACCTATTATTATCATCAATGTTGTGGATGGAAATATACCCCAGCCAGCTCACGAGTTTTACCATGTCTTCTACTCCGCTCCTTTTTTATCTACATAACCACGTAAATATATAATGAACCCCCAAATGCTGAACTTTTCCCAGTTTATGTTCACAGCCCTTTCCTATTCGAATTTTTTTTTTTTTTTTGTTTTTCCCCGTTACTGAATTTTGCGTAGTTGGGCTATTATTAGGTAGTTAACGCTATATATCTGTATACACATGCAAGCTGCTTATATGAGAAACCAGTGTGGAATAATGAAGGGAAGGAATTTTATGCCTCTGTACATACTATTAGTACTCCATATATGTATTTCTTCTGAGTTAGTTCTCACCTTGCTTGCTTGCTTGCAACCTGCCCTGTGTGCAGTTTTTCAACATCAGATATAACTATCCCATGCAGTCTGTAAGAAAAGAACTGATATCAAACTATTCATGCATGATTTTTGATTTTTGATTTTTTATTCTTTCACTGCAATTGAGAACTCCTTTTCATCTTCTCTTTTAAGTCCTTCAGTTATCTATCATCTTTCATCATGCAAAGCAGTGTCTTTTTCTTTCTTGCATACACCACATGCATGTAAAGTGTCATGACCTCAAATGCAAAACACCCTCAAGTGCTCCTTCAATGATCCCTGCACGGATAGGAAAACATGTAATGTACAAGGCTCTGCAGTGATGAATATTCCCTGCTCCCTGAGTGCTCAGGCCTGTAGGAGGCAGATGCATTATGAAGGGAAGCATATTCTAATGTAATATATTATTATGTTTATTAATTCCATGTCAAATGATCTTTTTGAATCAAAGCCCAAAATAAATTTCTTCTTTCTATTAAATAATCAGTGCTGTGATATTGAATAAAAAGCTAACTCATTGGGAAAAGTAAATCCAAAATAACATAACTCACACATGAGAAAGCCAGGTAGGTAGCTACATAAATTGGGTGATTGCTCCTGTCAAATTAATCAATTCAAATACAAATTCCTATATCTATTACACGTCAACACAGCATATCTGGAATAAACAACCTACCCCTCTTCTTTCTCTTCTGCATCTCCTACGCGACTCACTCGTCCCATCCCAACACCCATTCAGTTCCGTTGGCCCCAATGATCAACCTGATATACAGCCAGCTAAATAATAAATTATTCTTCAAATCCCCAACCCCCAAATCCCAATCCTAATCCCAACCCTGGCTCAGTTTGCTAGGCAAAACGCATACATCGTCGATGCATGCGCACAAAACTCTTATGACTTCGACGCGAGGAAATCGGCCGCCTATAGTCGTAGAAAAAAAAAACAACAATCGAGACGAAACACACTCAGCCATCCATCCATGTTGTTATGTTTTTTTGAATATATATATATATATATTAAAAAGCACAAAAGAACAAACAACAAAAGGCATCGGGAAGGGACATTGCATATGTTGTTGGGTGTCAACCCACCTTATCAAGATTATAGTCAAACTTCTCCAGCGCCGCCAACGACTCGTCCCGCGGATACCCCATCCCCGTTAACCGCTGTAATATCATATCATCCTCGCCTGTATCAGCACTCAGCGCCCATCCGGGCGGCTTGGCTTCCTTGCCTGGAGGTTGTGGGAAGGAGGATAGGGCTGCAGAATCGGATGATGGCTGTCCTCCTTCGGACGAGGTGGGCTTGTTTGTTTCTTTAGGAGATTTAGCAACTTTTGAGCTGTCTAGGACGGAGAAGAGCGCGTCCCAGTCCTGCGGGGCGGTTCCGGCAGCGGGCGCTGATAGACTTGATTGTTGTAGTTGTTGTTGCTGGTTGTTGTCGAAGGTGAAAAAATCGGCGTTCGTTGTGTTGTTGCCGGAACTTGCGCCTGTGGTGGCATTGGCGATTGTGCTGGACTTAGATGGTAAGCCCGGTGAGTCGAATGTCATGTCGAAGTTCGAGGAATCCTTGTTGAAGGGAGATTCGAAGTCGTCGTCGTCGTCGTCGTCATCATCGTCTTCGTCATCATCGTCCGCTTCCTTCGCGGGAGCAAGCTCTAAACCGGCAAATGCAGCCTCAAAATCGGGCGTTGTGGGCTTCTTGCCTGGTAGAGTTGGCTGAGAGGCTCCGGTGCTGTCTTTTCCCATGTGTGTCAACCTATTTGATGTAGGGGCCTCAGCTCGGGAGTTCTCCTTAGAGGGGCCCTGGCCATTCATTTCAGGAGGCGATGTACTCTGCGATGACGGAGGCGGGAATGGGTGAGGCGACGAGATGCCCCGGGAAACTTGTTCATTTTGTCGTGGCGGTGAAAACTGGCGAGAAGTCATCATCGAACCCCTTGGCAGCTTCGCTATCTGTACTGTCGTCATCGTCATCAAGCTCTCGTATGGGAGGGAACTCGCTGGCTCCTTCCTTTGACTTCCCACCAGCTACTTCGGGGAACCCAGAATCACCACCGTTTTTCACTTTCATTTGCGCAAACGCCTCTTCAAAGTCGTTGGCCTTCTGAGACGGGGACCGCGCATGCGTGATGCCGCCAAATAACTCGTCAAAACTGGCATCCTTCTTTGTAGATGCGGCTTGCGCTGACTTTACGGGGAAGAAACCAGGAATATTGGACACCTCGGCTTCTTGTCCGGTTTGGCTTGTGCTTCCGTCGGAATCGCTAGACGGTTTCTCAAGTTTCGTCTCAGGCTTTGGATCTTCACTCTCAAATGGAGATTTTGCTGACGAGCTTGTATCAGGCTCCGAGGTTACCGAAGTCCCAAATCGGCTAGTGGGCGGGGAGGGCCTGACCGAAGAAGCTTCAGATGTCTGGTGGCCTTCAATAGGAAGCTGGCTGGATGAAATCTGCCGAGATTGTGGGGGAGGAGGGGGTTCGGCTGAGCTGGGGGAAGCTGATGGTGTGAGCGTGCCGGACGTATCCGACGTCCTAGCGGGACCAGCCGCCAGTGGAGTTTGTTGGGCTGGCGACTCCGTTCGGAAAGTCGTCGGCGGTGGTGGAGTGAAGGTTGAAGGCACGGTGAACGATGGTCCGAATACATTGTCAAACACACTCTGAGCGTCTTTTGAGGGTTCTTGAGAAGATGATGATGGCGGTGGAGGAGAAAATGAATTATCGGATACACTTGCGGTTCGTCGGAAAAACGGGTTTGTTTGGCTCGCAGTTGAAGGAGCAGGGCTGGCGATAGGAGGAGGTTGCGAAGCAGACGATGGTAGTTCAGATGCTTGACGCTGTAACTCGTCTACCTCCATAGTCGTACTATCGATTTCACCCTGGATTCGATCCCGCTCACCCTCAATAGTCGCAAGCTGTTTTTTGTTAATGGCTACCAGGCCCTTCTGTTGACGAGCCGCGGACCGGGCTTTATCTAGAAGCGGCTTCAATTGACTAACTTGTGCGTTAGCCTGCCGGATTTGTTCCTTGAGACTAGCATTCTCACGTTGGTCAGCGTCCAGGGCAGCATTCACTTGGTTATACTGGTTTTGCAGATCCTGGCGGCTAGCCTCGATCAAGGCAAAATCTTGCTGAAGCTTTTTTGTTTCCGTGCGAGACGCTGTTAATCGATCTTCTAGAGCCTTGAAATCCTTTGCTTCCTGCTCATACATTGCTCTTGCCTGCGCAAGGCGAGCCTCGAAGTCCTTCTTCTGTTGACTGTTTTGGGCTAGATCCTGTTCCGCTGCCGCACGTTTCCCCTGCACGTTCTGCATCTCTCTCGACAAGCTACCGATCTGATTGGAGAGATTGGCTAAATCTACAGATTCCTGGGATAGCTTCTTGCTCGCTTCAACATCTACATTCGCCAACAAATCATCTGCAGACGGTGGTGGAGATCGCTGTTGTACCGGTGCGTTCGGCAAGCCAGTGGTATGTGGGGTAAGGCTCTGCCCAAAACTTGAGGAGGGGACGAAGGGCTTGAATGTTGACGTCGCACTCGCGCTAAGCGGCGACTGAGTGAGTGATGACGGAGGCTGGAGAGCAGGATTCGAGCCACCTGTAGTCTGTGCCACTTGGACCGGGGCTCCGAAAACGTCGAGTCCGAATAAATCCTCTGCCGCGGAGCGTTGGGCTGTATTTTGGGGGACAATTCCAGCTGCTGGAGCTGGAGGTGGAACTTGGCGTCGCATACTTGGAGGAATCAAAGCTGGGGGTAATGCTTGCGGTAAAGGTTCTCGGGTAGTGCGCTGTTGCCGAACCAGGTACATGGCAACAGCAAACTCATCCTTGCTCAGCTGCCCGTCAGAATCGATATCAGCCAGGTCCCAAATAGAAGCCAACGTTTCCTCCGGCAACTGCGCATTAGTGAAGAATTCAACAGCCTGATCGCCAGTAATGTATCCCAGGTTCGCTTTATCAACAGTTCCAAACACCGTATCAAAGTGCACTTTTTCTTGTGGGGTGATCATCCAATCACCACCAGTGGACTGCGTGGGAATGGTTGACTGGAACTGTGGCGGCCGGTTGAGTGGGCTTTGAGCTCGCTGGGTTCCCGATCCGCTGAACTGCTTTGGAATTGCGGGTACGGGAGGTATGTCTGAGGACGATCGCGAGCTGGTCGATGTGCGGACTCCTCCACGCCGAGCAGCTGCATCGTACAAACCTGGAGGTAAGCTCTGCGGTAATATTCTCATCGTACCATTCCTGTACGCGCTTAACAAATGCATGGCGATAATGAACTCTGTCGCATCCAACGCGCCTCGCTGTTTCGTATCAGCCAAATTCCAGATTCTACCCAAAATTTCGTTCGGCAGTCTTGCTCGTTCGAATATCTGTTTCGCATGTTCACCTGTATTTTGTCCGTGTGTTGTAAGCTTCTGTGTTCGGTCCAACCTACCCAGGGACTGGCTTTCGAAAAAATTAAGTACCTGAGAGGAGCCCATTCTGAACCTCCGATCTCTCAAACAGGGAGGTGAACTTTGTAACATCCTCGGGGACCAACGGCGGGACCCTAACGGGGCCGGCTCCGGGGGGAGGGCTGGATGCGATAGGCGGCGGAGCCTGCGGGGTAGGCTCCATAATATCTTTGCTCAAGCCCGAAAATTTTGGTAGAGGACCGGCTGAATTGGGGGAAAGCCAAGTAAGCCTCAAAGCAGACAAGTGTGAATGACGATGATGCCTTGTGAGAACAAAGAAGATGAGGGGGATGGGTCGACTTACGCTGAAGAGCCAATTCTTCTGTCGGGGCGCGGCCCGCCTGCGCATGTCCGATCAATCGCATAACTACTCCAAACCCAGACGGGGTAAGAAGTCCACGGTTCTGTGTATCTGCAATTTGCCATATCTACATTCCACCCCGACACAAAAGAGAAAAACAAAAAAAAAAGTCAGAATATTCAATCTACGTTTCTCCCCCTTCCGGATCTGTATGACTTTCACAGAAAACTTACCAAACCCAATGTCTCCGGCGGGAGACTGGTCTTCTCAAAGAAGGAAACGGCCACTTCACCAGTCACGACGCCGAGATTCGTCTTATCTGCTACTTGGAACAGTTTATAAAACACGCGCTTCTCCTCCGGCGTCAGGTTCAGGTTCGGATGGCCTGCATTATGAAGAGGCAAAACAAACAGGAGATTCGTCAGCACACTGTAGGAAGAGCTAGAAATAAGATGTAGGGCGTAGATATAAACGACATGTTGTCATGCGCTGATAACAAGTGTTCATACGGGCAGGACGTAGGTATGTCGGGATGCTATGCGATCTCACTCACCTCCGTCCGTCATGGTGTCAAATCAGCACCCCTTTTTATTCGATCTCTCCCATAAACAGTGTATTTCCGCGAGTGCTTTTTTCACAGCTGATATGTTTTGCTTTTTCGTATGCGCAGTCGGGGAAGATAGAGCCCGGGGTAGATCACGGAATTGGCGGATAGCATGGAATAAAAGGAACCGCGTAATGAGAATCAGGGGGTGGAGAGCCACCCGAGAAAGATGGATGGGAGGGTGGCGTGGATAGAGGAGCGCAATAACAAAAACCGAAGGCAGATAGGGGGGAATTAATCAATGCTTCACTTATGCAAGTGGAGCATCTGGCTGTGATATATATGAGACGACAGCGGCTGCGGTGGTGAGGCACGTACCAAACAGGTAGTTAACTCAGGCGCAGTTGAGCCGGAGCAACATTGAAACAGTCAGCAAACCTGAATTGTGCTAGTGTACTCTGTAACTAGTAACTTAATGTAATCAAATCACTCAACACTTGTTTTCACACCATTTCATGATTACTACAATGAAATCTCTTAATGTTATAAAAAAACCAACTTTTCCATGTAAAAAACACTGTAATATAACATCACATACACTTCATTAAAATATTTAAATGTTCTGACTTATATAGCTCAGATTAATTTTCAAATATTTATTCTTTTTTCATTCTGCACTTTTTATACATTCTTTACAGTATTTACATTTCTTATACATTTCTTTATATTCATTTTTAATCTTTGTTATTATTATTATTATTATTATTCTTTAATTATAGATGTATACAGTCAGATACTATAACATCTATTTAAGAACTTTTAGTTCTCAGAGTTTTTTTTTTAATATTTATAAAGTTAACTATGATACATTTACTAATTTCAGATATGTAAAATCAGAAAATTCCAGCTCAGAATATAAAAACTTTTTATAAATTACAGTATTTTAACACCTTCTGATACTTTGAAATTATTTGAAAATATTATAATAAAAGAAAAGAGAATAAAGTCTTAATAATAGTTATATTAAATCAGTAAATAGAAAAGAATAGAAAAGAAAAGAAAAAGTAAAGAGAGACTATAATAAAATAAAATTATTAAAAGATAGTATATAGCTGTTTTAACAGATTATATCTGATTAATTTTTATCTCTTCATATTCAGATATTTCTAAATTTAGTCATTTTCTTATAGCTGCTTAAGTTTCTGATAGAAAGTCTATTAAGTATTTAATTTCTATCTCAGTTAAGAATAAGAATCTTATATTTAATTAATTTAAATTATACTTCTCTTTCAATCTGACTCTGAGACTATTGTATAATACACAATGCATTATTTTAATCTTTGTATTCATAGCATGTATTACTTAATACTCTGTAATATGATTTCATACTATGTTATATATGTTAGTTATTACAGCTGTTACAGCTATTAACTGTGATAATCTCTCTAGATCATGTGATTAATTACTATATTAAGCTCTTTAAAGATAGATCTATTAATACAACCTTTAACTATTTTACAGATTATAGCTTAGATAGCATGTTTTTTCTTTTAAAAAACATTGTATTAATATTTTAATAAGAGTAGTTTATCTTTTTTAGAAAGACTTTTACTTTTTACTAGAGATATTTCATTTTCTCTGAATTCACTGATCAGTAGATTTATATTTGTATTAAGTCTACACTGAAAGAATTAGTATTAGATATAGAACTAATATAATAAAAATAGAAAATGTTAAAGAAGAAAAGAAGAGAAAGTGCAAGAGTTAGTAATTAAAGTGAATATTTATACATATATAAGATAAAGCTTTGAAATGAGAGAATAGAAACTTTATAAGTTTCTTAGTTAAGAATTAATAACTGAGAATTAAAGCTTTCAGCAGAAATCTATAAAGTATAATAAAATAATCTATTAATTAGATATAGTCTGCTACATTAATCTCTTCTTTTTAGAAGTGAGATTTAAGTAATAGAGTTACAGATATGTAGTTCTTATCAGTTAAAAGCTGCTATTTCAGATAGTATAAAGTAGACTGACTGTGTAACTGTGTCTGAGATCAGAATCAGAATATTTAATACTCTTATTATTAATTTAATTAATGTCATTACATGGTTTTAAGATTAGATAGTAGTCTTATACTATCTTATTGAGACTTACTGTCTACTCTTATCATATTTTTCAAATGAGATTATGATTTTCACTTCACAATTTAAATTCTTTTTATTGCTTTAAATGACTTTAAATCTTATTTAAGTGTTATCAAAAAGTGTTACTTCTTAAAAAAATAAAAATAGTCTAAAGAAAACCTTAAAATATCTAAAAATAGTAACTTTATACTAAGAATGAGACTAAATGAGATTAAATGAGATCACATTTCTATTTTTTCTAAGTCATAATCTTATTTTAAGATCTGATGAATAGTCACTTTACATGTTTTTTTAATGATTATTTCTAGTGAAATTCACATCAAGAAATGTATGAGACTAGATCAAATAAAACTGTAGCAGACTGCGTCTGATTAATTATATAGACTATTTCATTACACTTTACAGATTTCAATCACTTCATTCTTGAATACATATACTCTGATTCTCAGCTATTCTCAATCATCAATTCTCAGCTATTATAAATATATATAGATTCTTTCACTCTGAAGCTTCACTATGTACATTATTTCATACATGTATAAATATTCACTCTGATCACTGATTCTCACACTTTCTCTTTCTTTTCTTCTCTAACATTTTTCTCCTTGTTATATAAGACTTATAAATATTATACTGATCTATTTAGTGTAGACTTCTTATACTAGAAAAACATTCATTATCTTCTTATTAGAAATGATTATTCATGTATTATCTTCTTATTAGAAATGATTATTCATTGAGATATCTGAACATATAATAATGTGTAAGAAATAGAGAAATAGTTAAATAGTTAAGTGAATACTGAGTTCTCAGATAGAAGCTTACTCATCAGTCACTCTGACTCTGTAATAAGATCTTATAAAGAGAGTAAGATTTTATAAGAGAATATTAGTAAAAGATCTGAGAGTTCTGACATCTCAGATATATGAGATATTCATATAATTACACTTTTACAGATATTATATATCTAGACTGACTATGTAACCGTGTCTGAGACTAGAACCAGAGTTTTTGATAGTCTTATTATCAATTTGACTGATCTCATTACACAGTTTTAATATTAGATAGTAGTCTTATACTGTCTCAGTGAGACTTACTATCTACTCTTATTATATTTTTCAAATAAGATTATGATTTTCACTTCTCAATTTAAATTATTTTTATTGCTTTAAATGACTTTAAATCTTATTTAAGTGTTATCAAAAAGTGTTACTTTTTAAAAAATTAAAAATAGTCTAAAAAAAACCTTAAAATGTCTAAAAATAGTACCTTTATATCAAGAATGAGACTAAATGAAATCAAATGAGATCACTTTCTTATTTTTTTCAAGTCATGATTTCATTTTAAGATCTGATATATAGTTACTTTACATGTTTTTTTAATAGCTAGTCCCAGCGGGATTCACATCAAGAAATGTATGAGATCAGATTAAATGAGATTAAACGTGAAATTTATGATTCTGACAGTCAGTCTACATATATCTGATAAATAATATAATCATGTCTAATAATAATATAAGAGAACTTTTAAATGTGAGTATAGATATAATATTACAGTGACTCTGAGTAATATTGAAATTATAATAATAATAAATAGCTGATATACATGCAACTTAACAATGTTAATATAAAGAGATTCAATAATTATTATAATAAGAAACTCATACAATTTCAACATCTATAGAATTAAATACAAAAGCACTGAAAGAACACTTATGTGATTCGGAAGAACGTACAACCGTCGGATAATAACGCGGCCGCTTCCGAACTACTAGCATACGCGTATGAGTGTAAAGGGGCCATAGCAGCTGCTAATTAAATTAGTGTATAATATTACAATATATAAGAAGTCAGTGTACATCTGTAATTGTACACTGACTTAAGCAATCTTTGAATCATATCTGATAGCATGTCTAAAAACTGATAAGAAGTGCAGACTTCTTCAGAGTGTGATAATTCTGTCTATGAAGTAATTCATAGTTATTATGTCAGTGTAGTTCTAGAACATCTTAAAAAGATAGTGTATAAAAAGTGATGAGTGAAAGAGTATTCAATTAATACTGCTTCACTTGTTAAGGAAAAACTTCACACTCAGGCAAATATCATGTATGTGAACAGATAAGATGTGAGAAAAGAGATGAGAGTAGTGAATCAGATTCAAAGAAGACTGCTCTTCACTTAAAGAAATAAAAGAGAGAATGATCATCACTGAAGTCATACAATAATAACAGAAATCATATAATAATATAGTAATATAACAATACAGTGATATAATAATAGACATTATACAATCAACAAGAAATCACTGAAATGAATATCTTTTCTAACTGATATAAATAACACTCTTCTCTGCTATCTGAACTGGAAGATATACAGAATCTCTCAGAGAGTTTACTCAAAGTAGTAAGAAAAGCAGCTGAGACTGCTGAACTGAAATCAAAGCTCTGTATATATACAAGAATTCTAAATAAGATTGAGGTCTTGTATAAACATTGACAGACTGAGACAGAAGTCAAACAATAATTAATATTCACTGTGAATTAAGTATTCACTATAAAGAGCTTCACTGATACAATTATCAGCATTAATAAAAATAGAGAAAATCAGATCTTAGATCTGCAGTAAGAAATTGAACATTTACATAGATAGATAACTACACTGAATCTGAAGATCTTATTATAATTATTCACAATCTCTTCAGATATGTACACATCATCAGAGACTGCTGCACAGAATGAGAATCTAAGCATGAGATATATTAAGTCAGAAGATCTACTGAAGTTATCAAGCTTTAATAGTGACTGAAAAAATGATGCTGTAATCAGCTGACTAAGTCAGATGTAATTATATTATCAGATTAAATGTGAACTTACAGAC